ATGTATACAGAAGAGCTAAAACAATACTCAAGGCTTGCTGCGCGTTAGCATAATTATCTTTTCCATATTTATATCTTTAGCGGAAGTTGCAGACAGTCTAAAGAGCATTTGTTTATAATCATACAATTTTTTAATCTAAAGAGCATTTTTTTTGGAATATTACAATACTTGTATTCTTGTATTTTGAGTAATATTTTATTCGGCTGAGCAAAAATATATATATAGAATTGTAATAAAATACTTCAATTTGAGGTTTCTTATTCAGATTGTATACTAAATATAACATTCGTCCTTTAAAGGTTTTAAAGTTTTAAATACAAATATTATCCAGTCCTCATATTGACTGTAGAGAAATACTTTAAGCACCAATAACTTATCCTAAGTTATATATATATTATTAGCTTTGGCTTCTCAATAAGCTTCACGCCAATTTTTTCTCTTTGCTCCCTTTTTTCCATACCAAATATCAATCTCCAACCTATTCCGTTTTAAGTCCATTTTCTGCTCACATACCATACTTTAGGTTTAAGTTAATTCCTATATCTTTCAATTTCTATATCTTTTCATTATATTTCATGCACATTTTGTTCCTGACTAAAGACTAGATTACGCTTAGATTATAGTTTATAGCCTGTATATGGTGTATATCCTTTGCTCCATTCACAGCCAAGTGCCGCCCTTGCTGGCGTTCATATCAGCATTGGGAAATCCATTTGGATCCGTACTAGCCATGGGCGCCGTGGGACTTGGTATATCAAATATGGGGTAAAGTGGCGCGAAGCCATGCTCATCCAGACTCAATGTGTTCGGTGGTGCAGTGGCTCGCATATTATTAACCTTGTCGAGCTCGGCGCGCATATGCAGTGCCTCCTCGTAATTGGGTGGTGCTAAGGATTGGCATATGATTATAACCGTAAATATAGTTGAAATCAATCAGAAACATACGAATGCTGCCATCCACGGACCAGGGCGCAATGGCATCAGCAGGTGGAGCAGTGCTATCACCCAGGGCCTTGGCATCCAGGGCCTGTGGTGGTTGGCCCTCAAAGCCACGTGGTTGGATGTGGGCGTGCTCCGAGAGGGGCACGCTGCCTAGGGTGATGGGTATGGTGATTAGCTCGTTGCGATGACAGCCCTTGACCCTGGCCTCCACCTCCAGCTGGTAGGCAATCTGTATGATCTTGCACAGATTGAAGCAGGTGGGCGCCGTGGCGGGCACACGCAGCCAATAGGTGAACTGTTTCTTGCAGTGATGCGGCACGGGATCACCCATCATCTTGGTCACGAGTAGGCGCTCGTTTCGCGAATGCGCGGTGCCCAAATGCTGGGCGTAGTAGGTGACCATCATGGCCAGGTTCACCTGCAGCAGCTCCACAGGTATATGGCTATCGTTGGTGACCAGCATGCCCACCTGTATGGTCTGGCCGCACACGAAACCCGTTTGCGGCAGCGACAATTGCAGCTGCAGCGGCGCCGACTTGCACGGCCAGCAGCAATAGGTCTTCTGCGTTTCCACTTGTGCCGGCATCTATAATATTGAATATCTTATATGGACACTGTTAAAACACCTGCAATGCCACACTCACCCTCAGTAGCGGACTGTCATAGTTGAGGTCCATGATTTTGAGCACCGTAAAGCAGCGCGTGTAGAAATTATCAAATTTCCAGGGTCGGACCAGCGCCACCTTTGTCATATAGCGCACTCTGCCGTAGTATCCCTCGATGGAGGAGGGGCAGCTCGCAGGTATTTGACAGGCAAAATTATACGTATGTACGCCAGGCTCAAGCGAAACTTGTGCTGCAACAGTTATTTGAATATTGGAATGGAGAGCTTTTCACATTAGTGGATTTACTTACTGCTTTGGCTCGAGCCAGCCAGATAGGTTTGGGAGGCTATATAGTCTTCGCGGGCGCTATATGTATCCGAGGACTTATTCTTGCCAGTGCCACGCGATTCCGTCCAATGGGTTTCGGCAAATCCACTTATGTTAAATGTTACAGCTATATTGAAATAGTATAAAAGGGAATCAGGTATTTAAATGAAAAAAATATGCATGCATAAGTCGATGTACAAAAACAAAACATATTTCCGCTATGTATATTAATAATATGATGGATGCTTAACGAATCAAATTGAAGACTTTTTACATTTTTCAACACTTACTTTCGCCTTTTACAGCACACTGTGCGAAAGGAATGGGTGAGTAGAAAGGAGTTCTTAAAGCCAACTTTTGCCTAGACGAATACAAAATAAATCTAAATTTGCATATTATATGAACTTCCTTAATCTGCACAATAAATAAAACAGCTAATAATGCTGCGGGAAAGAGAAGGCGCATATGAAGAAGAAGAAATAAGCGAACAACTTCCTGTCGATCGCATGTACAAAGCTTTTTTGCTCAATGTAAATGCTGCAAAGCGCAAACGAGACAAAACGTCGCACTCTCCTTTTCACCACAGCAGCCTGGCAAAAATGATGGATGAATCTGCGCGTGGTGAAATTCGTCTGGCACCTGCCTGTGGTCAGTTCAGTTAACTGCACCCGCGCTACATATACATATACATATATACATATACGAATTCTGAGCGACGTCACAAAAAAAGCTCCTTTGTGTTTTCGCCAAATCGTATATGTATATTTTACTTGCAATCTGTTGGCTGTGACGTCAGAGCGCCACACACATGAAACCGTGGGCATTACCTAGTTGAAAATAAACACGCTGAACAATAATTTCAGTACATGAATTCCCTATGTACACATTGAATATAATATGTACATATATTAACAATATACACAAATTTTTAAAGAAAAACAAATCATACAAAATGTTCAGTTTACAAAAGTTCTTCTTTTACTCAGCTGTAAAGTTTTTATTGTTTTTTCTTTCTTCTATTTTTTTCAATAAATTTTGATGAGCTGTCAGTAAGAAATTTAGACAGAACGTCCATTAAATCATCTAATATTTGGACTGCATGCTTGTACAAATTTATAATACAAATTGCAACAGCGGCTGTAACATTTTGCGTCTAAATATTGCACTTTACAGATGTTAAATATAAAATGAAATATAATTTATGAACTGCATGCAATTATTTATATATCGATTTAAATGAGCTGCACTTGTGCGAAAACCCCGATTCCAGAATTCATTTATTTAAAAAGCTTAAGAGCTTAGGAACTATTTATGATAATACTGATAAAAATGATAACTTGTAAGAAAATGATTATAAATAGCTTGTCAACAAACTGTTTAATATCATCAGCTACCAAATTTAGCGCGTGCCTTGGAGAAAAAGGCGAATGAATCATTTTCTATTGCCGCGGGGCTGTCCTACACAATTTACAATTCGCACATTAACTTTGCACAGCTCTTCACCTGGCTGCCGGATAAGATAAGAATGAGTCATGGGGAAGAACATTTGATGTTTAAAGAGTTTTTATTTTTAATGTTAATTTTAAAAATCGCACCAAATACTTAGTATGTATATTAAATGCCGGGCTCTTACCTTTGACCAGCTTTTGCTTATCCAATTTCAAAGTGACTTTCCCCGTCACCACTTGACCCGCAAAGAAGGTGCCATGGGGATTGTTATCGAAATCAATTATGCAGGTAACACCCATTATGTGTTATTACAGCACGCCAATATATATGTGTGTATATTTGCACTTATCTGGCCAATAATTATGGCTGTAAGTATTTATTGTTGCGCGCCGCCGATTCGCCGCAATTCGCACTTGTCGCTATCGGAATCCAAAACACGACTGATTTGATTGTAATTAAAAACCAAGCGGTTCGCTATTTACTTCTCACATAACGGGGCAACAAGTTTGGCAAGTTCCGCGACACGTCCAAACATTCCCATTCGGCCGTTTGAAACGAACTGAGAGTGAAACAAACTTTTGTATTTCCTTTTTGTTGTTTTTTTTCTTTTTCTTTTTGCTTTGACTCTTTGGCGGGCCATTTTTATCTTATCGCCGTGTCAATTATAAACCAAACAGTTTGTCCAAGTGCAATGCACACAGCACCAACTGATATCATAAATTCGGGGTATATGCAGATGTTTGGGCATTAGTATGTTTGGGATTGCAAACATATATAATTTCATTTTATTTTTCAATTTATATTTGTATACCCTGAACCCATTGAAAATTGGTAAAAAGGGTATGTAACAGGCAGAAGGAAGCATCTACGACCCCATAAAGTATATATATTCTTGATCAGCATCAATAGCCGAGTCGATCTAGCCATGTCCATCTGTCTATCCGTCTGTCCGTCCGTCCGTGCGTCTGTCCGTATGTAAATGAAATTGATCGAGTTTGTTTCCGATTTTCGATAACTTGCCCCGTTTCCAAGTAATCGATAAAAATCGATATCGAAATCGTGTTTTTTGAGCAATTTCGGCGAAAAATATGAGCTAGAGTTACCAAATTTGACATGTAGCTTCTAGAATAGTATATATATATCAAGTATTTTTCATTTTATACCTATCGCCTGTCGGAAGAAGAGGGTTCAGGGTATCCTTTAGTCGAGAGCTCCCGACTTGAACCTCTTACTTGTTTAATATTTAAATTTTTTTAACAAAAGATTAAAATTGATTTTGATGAGCGACAAATACTGAAAGGAAACTTATATCGACATATATTTTTTATATATTTATATTGTTTGTGGCATAATAAATTCGGGGTATATGCAGATGTTTGTGCATTATGTTTGGCAATGCAAATATATAATTGGAGCTACAGGGGAATGCCGATTAAATTAAATTATATACTTTATTTATTTAATATTGTTTAAGAAAAGATGAAAGTTGTTGTTTGATGAGCGACAAATACTGAAAGGAAAGAATTATGATTTGCCTGAAGTGTTAAATTTGCGATTTATCTGTTTGAGCTACACTGAGCGAAAACTGATACAAATGAAAGAGACGAAAAAAATTCAACATTTTCAGATTCTAGATGCATTTTGTCAATTGTTCCGAAAGTAAAAATAAATATGTTCTTAGAAAGAGATAAATCTCTCAATTTTGGATAGAAGTTTGATTGATTGTTTTGATTGACTGATTGATTGATTGAGTAGTGATATTTCTGCTTTATTTAATCGTAATGAATTAAATAAAAAAATGATTTGATTACACTTTTGTTTTGTTTTCTAAGCTCAATAAATATATAAATATATAAAATAAATATGTTCGTAGAAAGAGATAAATCTCTCAATTTTGGATAGAAGTTTGATTGATTGTTTTGATTGACTGATTGATTGATTGAGTAGTGACATTTCTGCTTTATTTAATCGTAATGAATTAAATAAAAAAATGATTTGATTACACTTTTGTTTTGTTTTCTAAGCTCAACGTTTTCTGCTAATATGCAGAAAATGTAAATCAATAAACATTGAAACTGGAAACTTGGCGCTCGGCTAGAACATTATTCGAGGTCAGTTTAGCTTGGTCTTTTTAAGCCCAAACAAAACGATAAATAAATAAAATTGAAAATTTTCTTAAAACTAATATCTAAAACCAAGCCGACATTTTTGCCAAACATTTCGCTTAAACAATTTTTATTTACAATTCAGTTAGATATCTTAAACAATTCTCTCGCGTTCTCAGAACCAAGTGCTACGATCAATATCTTCGGCTCTATCGCCCTGCCAACTCTCCGCCAGGTTGTTTATATGAAAGACAGCATAGAGCGGTGTGAAGGCGCAGTTCTCCTTGGTCTGCGTGGTGGACGGGCTGAACTCTTTGGGCTTGGGCTTGGGCTTGGGCTTGGTGGATTTGATTAGACCCTCGCGTATGTGCATGGCCTCTGCATAGCTGGGTGGAGCTGTTGAAAGACAAGGGCTTCAGACAAGTTGTACGTATATCCAGGCTATGGCCGACCCACCTATCGTAGCGTCTGCAGCCCAAGGATTGAGGGCGGCTGCAGGCGCCGCAGCTGACACATCATCCACCAGCACCAGAGCCTTCTCGTCCAGCTGCTGTGCCACAACCTCGACTTCAATGGGAATGGGGCGTGGCTGTTGTGTCAGCTGCCTGGTTAAGGGCACATTGCCTATCGTGACGGGCATATGGACACGCTCGTTGATGTGCCAGCCCTTGACCTTGGTCTCCACCGCCACCTGGTAGGCGATCTGTATGATGCGGCACAAGTCAAAGCAGGTGGGCGGCGTTGCCGGCACGAGCAGATCAAAGGTGAACTGCTTCTTGCAGTTTCTCGTTACGCCCTCGCCCTGTTGCTTGCTGACCACAAATCGCTCGCTGATCGTCTTCACACTGTGCTGACTGTAGTAGAGCACCATCATCACCAGGCTGGCCTCGATCTGCTCCACGCGTATGTGACTGTCATTGGTAACCAGCACGCCCACCGGTATCTTCTGGCCGGGCACGAAGCCTCGCTGGGGCAGCGACAATTGAAGCCGTATAGGCTCGGAGCGGCAGGGCCAGCAGTTATAGGTCTTCTGATCCTCCGAATGGGAGGGCGTCTAAAAACCAACCACATTTGAATAAGTTGTGAATAAAATAGACACTTTTTCACTCACGCTCAGAAAAAGTCCCTCCCTGTTGAGATCCATTACTTTGAGCACGGTAAAGGGTCGTGCGAAGGTCTGATCAAATTTCCAGGGTCTGATCAGTCTGACATTTACCATGTACCGCACACGTCCATGGGTGCCTTCAAAGGAGGAGGGGCACACAGCGGGTATTTGACAGGCAAAATTATAGACATGGCTGCCAGGCTCAAGGGCGACGTCTACGATATATAGCAAGTGATGGGGAAATAATCAAGATCTAGACATTTCAGTTCTTACTATTGCCTCCAGCAGCCAATAGCTCCACCTTGGATCGAATATAGTCCTCGTGTCCACTGTAAATCTCTTCTGTGGTCTTGTCATCCAAATCGGTTTCATCTTCTGACCAACAGGTGCTAGCAAAGCCTTTTATCTTTAATACTATAGCTGGCAGCAAGAGTAAATATTTCGCACAGATTATAATTATAAAATACCATATATTTGATGACAGATTAAAGAGCATATATTGACATATGATTATGATTGAAGAAATATATTGCTGGTTATCATAAGGAAGTCAACAAAGGCACATGCATTTTCATTACAATAAGATAAGAAGAAGAAGGTAATATATTATTGCATTATTTTGTCTATCATTCTAGATGCAATGAAAATCGTATGTTATCTGAAATTTGAGTATTCAACAAGCCACAAATAGATTGTAAAAATATTAATAGATAACCAAAAGTAAATATGAATCATATATAAGCTAACAGGCCCAAAAAGAAGGCTACTTATATATTCGCCATATAATTATTATTTCTAAAATTTATAATAACATCAACTCATGCAATTATTTATTAACATTTTATGCCTTACCTTTAACTAGCTTTTCTTTATCCGCTTTTAGGACTACACTGCCAGAAATCAGTTGACCCGCATAATAAACTGCAAATGGATTATCCTTAAAGTCAATTTCACAGCTAACAACCATATTTTCTTCTTTTTTTTTTTTTTAATTTTTTATAAACAATATTAATGTATATGTGTTTCGCAGATTGGCCGCGTTTCGCTTAGCTGGCAAAAATCACACTGAATTTAAAAGAACATAGTTTTTTTTTCTGTCGCCCAAACGGAATTCACAAGTTTTATCTAATCAATACGAAAATATTCGAATTATCTATTTATTTATAAAAAAAAAAAACATAATACTACAACATTTTATGTTACATGTGACAAGTTGAAGAATAAATTTAGTTATGTTAATGCTATGTTAAATAAAGAGTAATATGTTGGATTATTTTATAACAGAAAGCTTTGGGAAATTCCACTCGCAACAGTGGTAAATTGGCGGAAAACGTTTGTATGAAAGTTATTTGTTTACCGTCCGATCAGTTTCAAAATCATTTCAAATTTTTTTGAGAACATTGATTTTATAACATACGTGCCACGGGCAAGGCCGGGTTATACCCGTTAGTAATATATATATTTTTAAGTTAACACAAATCTGTTAAAAGAAAGCTTTAGGGTTTTGAGTCATGCATTAACTCTCGCTGACAAAACGCCCGGCTGAGTCTTTAGCGCAGCCACGTCTGGGATTACAGAGAGTTTGTCATATACTCCAGATAAGATAGCGCTGGGCACCTGTTGCGCGCTCCAAATAGCAGGTTAGTAGCCAAAAAGCTAGATCAGTTACCGTTTGGCAGCGAGCGGGTTCGGAGAGTTCCAGAGTTCGATAGTACGGCACAAATCGGAAATATTGGCCCCGGGGCGGACGCCACAAGTATGTCCAATAATTGCCAAATAACATTCGATCAAAACGAGCATGGCACATATTTTACGGGCCAGGTCGTCACCGGCAAGGTGATAGTCAATTTCAATAAGACGAAAAAACTGCGAGGTATGTCGAACTAGTATATCGGGCTCGCCAATAAGTGCCTAGCTTTACAGCTATTTTGATTTTATCCGATATACCAACTATTTAATGCCAGTTAGTTGTAGTTAGTGTGCGCTGTCCACAGCCAGCCTCGCCCACTTATCTGGGCCATTATCTTATCGGTGTTTTGTATTTATTTCATTTTGCCGTGTTCTCTGCTATTACCATTATATACGTGATTTGGTGATAGCCCAAAAAATTGCCAGAGACACACGCAAAATGCACGATAATTGATGCACAACAAAACGCACAAAAATTATTGTATTATTGGACAACAGATTGTGGGGGGGGGATTCCACCTGGTGATAACTGGTCAATGGCTAAGGAAATGCCAACATTTATTAGTCATCATTTTTACGCGGACCTAAGATTCTTTTGAGAAATAAAACAATTTATATTAAATTAATTATAATTAAAATTAATACTTAAAAATTAATTAATTTGTTAATTAAGAAAAATTTTTTTCTTTTTTCATTGATTCCAAAACTATTACTGAACAAAGACAAATAAATAAATTTTGTAAAATTTTGTATAATTAAAATTCTTAATTTTAAATGATATTAACAATATATTTTTTTATTGATTCCCGTCAGGTATAAAACTACAAATCAGCGGCTATGCCTGTGCTCAATGGCGTCGAAAACATGGCCGAGCGTTGCCCACAAATCAATTTCGACCGGGTCGCAAGCGATTCTTTATGGGCCGGGAGGATTACATTGCCTCGACGACATATCTGATGGGCTCGGAGCAGGGCCAGACGTTCAATATTGATGCGGGCAGCTATACATACACGTTCGCCTGTCCCATACCAAGTCATTGCCCATCCTCCTTTGAGGGCATCTATGGGCATATACGCTACCTGGCCAAGGTGACGTTCATACGGCCGGGTGCCTCGAATCGCACTACCAATGTGGGCTTCACAGTGCTCAAGCTGCTCGATCTGAACCAGGAGAACAAATTGCTGCGCGAACCGGCCAGCAGCGAGGGCATGGAATACTTTTGCTTCATGCACACCAAACCGGTCCATATGAAGGTGACGCTGCAGCAGCAGGGCTATGTGCCCGGCCAGTTTATGCTCATCCATGCGGATGTGCGTAATAATTCCAGCAGCGATTGCAAGAAGCTGATGATTATGATATATTTGCGCGCCACCTACACAGCCGACACGCCCGCCCTGCGCACCGTCTCCGAGAAGATACTGCTGGCGAAGCGCGAGGGTGGACCAGTGCTGCACAATTGCCAGAAATCCTATACGGAATCGCTGCGCATACCGGCGACGGCGCCGACATGCGAGCACCTCAGCAAGGTGGTGCGTGTGTCGTACGAGGTGCGCATTGTGGCCGTGATGAACTGGCTGATGGCCAATCCCAAGGTCGTCATACCCATTACCATTGGCAATGTGCCGCTGGCTACCGTTGGCCCAGCCGCACCGTTTGGCATCGCGGCCGTGCCACGGGATTTGCCCTGTACCTCGGCTAGGGCCATGGAATTGGCCTCGGGCATAAACAATCCCAGCTACGAGCTAACCGAAGAGCTGGAGGACTACGAGCTGCCCGAGGATGGTGACGACGAGTTCGAGGTCGAGGAGGACCTGGTCCCTGAGCTGCGTAAGTCATCCAAAAGCGCGCCTAGCCACACCTATTCTAATCGGCATCCTCTCTGCCAACCTGTTTTCAGCTCCGCCCACCTATGAGCAGGCGATGTTCATGACCGCCGACATTGCGGACACGGATGCCAACACGGTCAGTGAGGCGTCTCGCTTTACGCCACGCTATCCCGTCTTCGATGTGGACACATTCCAGAGTCCGCCGCCGAATCCGCCACAGAAGAAGCGTCGCCGTCGTCGCCGCCGGGACGAACAGCGTCCAGACAAGAAGCAGCCGGCGGAGGCGCGGAACAGAGAAGTGGAACGAGAACCCGTAGAGTCGCCCATCCAGATTTGATTGCTTATCAAATGCAATATCTTATCTTAACAGTATTTATATTAATCAGCGCAATTTTGTGTTATACCCAAGCGAGATTGTTTGCAAAGTGTCTTAGGCAAGATATTTCGTAGATAAACAAACTATATAAAACCGTCTTTCGGCAAAAGTTCAAGTCATGCAAAAAAATACCTGTTTACTCTTATAAAAAACAAAAATACTGAACACAAGAGTTCTTAACTATATATAAAGTTCATAAGGTTAACCCTGCATTAAATATGTATGTTACTTAATATTCTCTTGTTTACATTTATTTGTTATATCAAATTAATCTGATTAGTTTGACTTTTTTACATTATACCCAGCATAAAATTGGTATTTGAACGTTTATAGCTCAATATTCATATGTGAGAAACTTTTAGCTTATCAAACAGCTGTTTCCCAAATATTACATCATCTGTTTTTGTTTACATCTGAGTGTTCTTGAAAGCTACGCATATAACAACAAAACGTGTTGAAAGTTATTCTAATAACGCGAGCAGCGCCAAAGCTTAAAAGCGCTCACTCAGCAGCACTCGTTCTCTCTCTGTCACTCTTATGCTTTTATACTCTTTCGAGCGAACGCTGCCATTTGTAGTGAGAACAATATTAATGAGCTTTCGATTTCGCTTTTTTTGGGTTGGCTCTCTCAACTGATGATGTCACATTTTGGCTCTCTCGCGCTCTCAAACATTTCATTTTCAGCTAATTTGAAATCTTCGACTTTTCATTTGTGCTTGGATTGTTCGGCGCGGCGGGTTTAACGCGGGCTAAACTCGCGTGCTTTGTTCAATTAATAGTTTAAATTCAAGTGAAATATGTTTTATATAATATATATGTAATTTACTTTGCAAATACTTTTGCGCTAGGGTGTGTTTGTACTGTGCCATATAATTAATATTCGTGTCTTTTACCATGCCCTCGAATTGTGTTTTCGAATTCGATCGGCCCCATCCGGTTTACTACAGCGGCGAAACGATTAATGGACGCATTGTTTTAAAAACAACAAGCAACAAGTCCGTCAATGGTAATGCCAGACGCCAAAAGTTAACAGAAAGCTCCTCTAAATTCTGCTCATCACATACTTGGCTTTATGTACATATAAATTTGATAAGACATGCAATGAAATAATGTGGTGTGGTGAAAAAACAAAAAAAACTACTAGGAATACCGCAATTTACTGCGTTATGGTCAACTGCCAGATGCGCTACAGGCTTTTGTGAACTATTCCAAATATATAATTATATAAAATATCTATTAGATAATATCGGAAGGTGTCATTTGTCAGCACTTGCTTCTCACTCTTCACTCGCAAGCTGTTTGTTAAATTTATATAATTCAAAAAAAAAAATTAATAAAAGTAATTTTTTTCTCATTAGCTTCAACGTTATCGAAGTTTTAAACAGTTCGTCACCACTGTGCGTCACGTATTTAATAAAAAAAAAAACAAAGCGCAGCCGGCAGACAGCAGCCGACGACACAAAGCGCAACCTGCAAAAAGGCAAAGCTCAACAGTTTCACACAGAAAGCTCTCTTATGTTTCATGTTTGGCATTTGTTTTGTTTTCTTATCTCGAACAGCCGTCTTCATCTTGTTCGCGGGCGAGGCGAAGGTGCGTTGGGAGGAGCGACGCACGCGCACCGTTAACGGTAAAACTGAAACGTATACGGAATATTATCGTGGCACCGAAAAGTATTTGAATACGCGCACAAATGTGTTTGGGGAGGGCGATTTGCCGGCAGGCACGCACACCTACACATTCTGCATACCCCTGCCGCTGGAATGCCCGACGACTTGTGTGGAGAAGTACGGCAAGATCGGGTATGAGGTGTCACTCGTTGTGGATCGTTCCTGGCGCTTCAACAACGAGTTCAAACAGCCGCTGACCGTGCTGCAGACCTACAATCTGAACATGTATCCGGAGATGCTGGTGAGCGTGTCTTGGCTAATCCATATGCAATGCCTTTAACCTGGCCGTGCCATTCTACACAGATACCCATCAAGAGCGAGGACATCAAGTACTTTTGCTGCTGGCCCTGTTCCTCGGGTCCGGTCATCTCGACTCTGACGATACCCTTTGGCGGCTATGCGCCGGGC